TTGTTTCTGGAGCTAGCATGCTAGTGCTAGCCTCCAGGTTATTGTATCGGACGCTGCGATCGCTACATTTATTTGAATGTGCTTATAGAAAAGATTATTATCAAACATTAATACTTTTCTACACTAAATGTCACTCGTGCATTTGTATTCATCATCATCATTTACTTTATTTCAGACACAATATAAGATCCATATAAAAAACAACAAAAACACAGAATTAAAACGTTTTTCTATAGAGGCTCAAAAGCCAACGAGTCCATAAAGCAGACAAGTACCGCACAGAGCGTAGTCCAGGGTTGGTCAGTGTAGCGATGATACAGTTTTCAGATTCAGACAACCTACACATGCATCTATGTACAGCGCCTTGCAAAAGTATTGGGCCCCCTTGAACTTTTTGTGAAGAATCAACAACAAGTGGGACACAATTGTGAAGTGGAATGAAATTTATTGGATGTGTCAAACTTTTTTAACAAATAAAAAACTGAAAAGTGGGGCGTGCAATATTATTGGTCCCCCTTGCATTAATACTTTGTAGCGCCGCCTTTTGCTGCAGTTCCAGCTGCAAGTCTCTTGGGGTTTGTCTCCACCAGTTCTGAACATGGAGACACTGAAGTTCTGCCCATTCTTTCCTGCAAAACAGCTGGAGCTCAGTGAGGTTGGATGGAGAGCGTTTGTGAACAGCAGTCTTCAGCTCTTTCCACAGATTCTCGATTGGATTCAGGTCTGGACTTTGACTTGGCCGTTCCAACACCTGGATACGTTTATTTGTGAACCATTCCATTGTAGATGTGTCTTTATGTTTTGGATCATCATCTTGTTGGAAGATAAATCTCCGTCCCAGTCTCAGGTCTCTTGCAGACTCAAACTGGTTTTCTTCCAGAATGGTCCTGTATTTGGCTCCATCCATCTTCTCATCAATTCTGACCATCTTCCCTGTCCCTGCTGACGAAAAGCAGGCCCAAACCATGATGCTGCCACTACCATGTTTGACAGTGGGGATGGTGTGTTCAGGGTGATGAGCATTGTTGCTTTTACACCAAACATATCGTTTTGCATTGTGGTCAAACAGTTGGATTTTGTTTCATGTGACCAGAGCACCTTCTTCCACATGTTTGGTGT